TCGGGCAAAAGAAGTAGATCTTAGAAGTGGATTTGGGTGAACAGATAAGAGTGGAGAGAGTATAGAGGCAGGAAATGCCAGTTTGTACCCAGTAATAGTGGAGTAAACTGGTCAGTCTAGCTCAGGGTTTCTCAGCCTCCATACTATTGGCATTTAGAGCTGGATAATTCTTTGCTGGGGTTGGGGGGTAGGGGTGCTGTCCTGTGCACTGAAGGACGTTTAGTGGCATCACCTGGTCTCACCCCACTAGGTGCCAGGAGCACCATCCCCCTACCAACCATGTGAAAATTAAATTAAAATGTCTCCAGACATTACCAAATGGCCCCTGGTTGATAAGCATCATTGGTCTAGTTTGAGAGGAGGGTAAGTTAAGACCATATTTTGATGGGCAACCAAGTCTGGACCTAACCCTCCAGAAAAGTTTTTGTGAGCAGAAGCTCATCTATAACAAAGTAGGGAAAAGGCTCCACCCCCTTCACTGAGATGGAAACAGAATGGGCTCTGGAGTTTAGAGACTTGGGTTGCTTTTTAAATTATTTAAAAATTATTTAAAATATATGTATAAAATGATACGTACCACCATACATAATTTTACATATGTACTTTAATATGATTATAGCATGTATATTGTTTTTGTTTTAATGAAGTCTTTTTCCCTTTTTATTCTTTTTGCTTACCCTCTCCCACCTTCACCCATATCACCCCTGCTCCTCAAATAACCGATATTGACAATTTACTCTGCTTTCTTCCATATTTTTATCTATTTTTAGTATAATAGACATACATATATAGTCATAGCCATTTTTTATTGTTGACAGTATTACAATGCCCTCCACTTTTCCCCCTTTAGCTCCCCTCCACATAGCGCTCCCCTAGCCATTTTATTTACTTAATTATTTTTCAAAATATATTTTTATTGATTTCAGAAAAGGGAGAGAGAGATAGAAACATCAATGATGAGAGAGAATCATTGATCGGCTCCCTCCTGCATGCCCCCACTGGGGATCAAGCCCACAACTCAGGCATGTGCCCTGACCAGGAATCGAACCGTGACCTCCTGGTTCATAGCTTGATGCTCAACCACTGAGCCACACCAGCCAGGACCCCCCTAGCCATTTTACATATACACACACAGCACATGGAACATTGAAATGGGATTATATTACAAGTCACCTGGCACAGCTCTATTTCATTGTCTTTTTTTGTTATTGTTGTTAATCCTTACCTAGGATATTTTTCCATTGATTTTTAGAGAGAGTGGAAGGGAGAGGGAGAAACAGAAAGAAATATCAATGTGATCAAGACACAGTGATTGGTTGCCTCCTGCATGCACCCTAACCAGGGCTGGGGAACCTGCACCGAGGTATATGCCTTTGACTGGAATCATAATTCATTGTTTTTTAATGGTCACATAATATTCCCTGGTGTGGCTATGTCATAATTTTTCAAACCATTCCACTCTTATGGGCTATAACATTTTGTTTCTAATATTTTTCTCCTATGAACAGCATTGCAATAAATATCTTTGCAAGTATTTTCTTACTAGTGCTTTTATTTCTATGGAATAGGGTCCCAGACATGAGATTGCTAAGTAAAGAGGTATTTTAAATTTTATTAAATATTGCTAGATTGCTTTTCAAAAAAAATGTGATAATTCACATTTCTACTAGCAATATATGACAAGACCTATGTCTTTGCTAGCAATTGGCATTATTAATCTTTTTAATATTTGCCCATCTAATGTACATAAAATTATTTCATCTTTCTTTGCTTATTAGTAAGTGTGAGCACCTTCTTGTTATGTTTATTCACTTGGGATTATTCACTGTGAGATGCTTATTTATGGATGTTGCCTATTTTTTATAGGGTTCTGTTAATAATTTGTGCTAATTCATTTTATTAAAATATTAACCTTCTGTCTTTTAGGCTGAAGATTTTTTTTTTTACTTCCGTTGTTTGTTTCTTAACTGGGTTTATGGTTTCTCTTGCCACAGTAAGATTTTACATTTTTATGTAGTCAAATTTATCTCTTTTCTCTCTTACAGCTTCTGGGTTTCCAGTCTTGGTTAAGAAGGTCACCCTCAGATTGTACATGTAGTCTCCTAGATTCTCTTTCAGGATTTGTATGGTTTTAATTTTTCTTTTATCTTTGTATATGGTATAAAATAGGCATCCAACTTTATTTTTTTCTCAGCTAGATACTAATTATGTCAGCACTATATTAAATGATCTACCTTTTCCCCCTGGAATTGAGCTACCACCTTCATCATATATTCTCATATTTAATAGTTTTTAAGAATTTAAAAAGACAAAAAGAGGATTAGTAGCAGCATGTCACTTATTTTAGTCATCATCTTATGTCCCTCCTGGTGACTGGGTTGAATCTCAAGGCTTCAAGAGCTCCCTCTCATCTTGTCCCTACTTCCCTTTCAGGTGCCGTTAGCTGATGAGGGGGTCGCTCCTCTGCCCACTGCAGGGCCAGTGAAAGAGGAAAAATTCCTGCTTGGAGAAGGGCTGTCTCCTCTGCTTCCAGTTCAGCCCATCAAGGAGGAAGAAATACAGCCTGGGGAGGAAATGCCACACTTAGGGAGGCCTATCAAGGTGGAGAGCCCGCCCCTGATAGAGTGGCCCTCGCCGTGCCCATCTGTCAAAGAGGAGCTGTCTCAGTCCTGGGAGGACGACTCCCCTCACTCGCCCACTCCAAAGTCCAAGAAGTCCTACAGTGGGCTCAGGTCCCCAACCCGGTGTGTGTCTGAAATGCTGGTGATTAAACGAAGGGAGGGGAGGGAGATGAGCCGGTCTCGAAGGAAACAGCACCTACTACCTCCCTGTGTGGATGAGCCTGAGCTGCTCTTCTCAGAGGCCCCTGGGACTTCAAAACCAGCCACAGAGCTCACTCTCCCTTCAGAGCCCTCTGTGCCTGCCTCCCAGCTTGGCTACTCCCAGGAGGAGGGAGGACCTTTTAAGACACCCATTAAGGAGACGCTGCCCGTCTCCTCTACCCCGAGCAAATCTGTCCTCCCCTTGAGCCCTGAATCCTGGAGGCTTACACCCCCAGCCAAAATTGGAGGGTTAGATTTCAGCCCAGTACGAACCCCTGAGGGTACCTTTGGCCCCCTACCTGACTCCCTGGGGCTGACAGATTTCAGTACCACCCCACTGAAAAGTATCCCCCTCTTTGACTCACCCCAAGAACTCCTCAATTCTGAGCCCTTTGACCTCAACTCTGACCCCTTTAGTAGCTGTTCCCCCTCAGAAATGGAAGTCCCCAAGCCAGACTACCCCATGGTTGGGGAGCCACAGGTTGCCAGCCTTCCAGCCAACCGTTCCCTGACAGAAGGCCTGGTTCTGGACACAATGAATGACAGCCTGAGCAAGATTCTGCTGGACATCAGCTTCCCTGGCCTGGAGGAGGACCTGTTGGGCCCTGACAACATCAACTGGGCTCAGCTCCTGCCTGAGCTGCGGTAGAGACCTGACCTTACCCTTGCTGCTCAAGCTGTCCACTCTGGGCCATCCAGGAGTGGGTGGGCCATCCAAGGCCTGAGTAAGGACGGCAAGCAGGGACTGTCCGCCCTCTAGCCCCACCTTGTTATGCCAAGGCAGACATCGTGCCATAGTCACCACTGGGCCCTCTACAAGCATCGAGGCCCTGGTATCTGAACTCTGTGCCACCCTATGCTCCCCTAGAGAATCTGATTCCTCAATCCCCCTGCGAGAGCTGAAGGGTGAGCATAGCAGAAACAAGGATGAAAAGAGATTAGGAACTCCCCAAACTGTTTGTATTGTGCCCAGCAGTTTCACCTTCCCTGTTCCTTGCAGGGTGTCCTGTAAATAGTGTATATGCTCCAAATTATCCTCTAATTTTAAATGTAAGCTTATTTCCTTAGATCATTATCTACAGACTATCAGAAGGTGGGTAGGATGACAGGGGTTTCACTTTGCTTCTGTTCCATGCTTTCCTCCAGGCCCAAGTTGCCTGCCTCAAGGGTTCTTTACTGTAAGCACCCAGACAAGCAGATCGGCTTGCCAGAGCCCCTTCTACTGCTCTTCCCTCCCACCTCCCCATGTTTCCAAGAAGAAATCCTGGTAAAACTGTCTCATAATGTGTCAAGAGTTGAATTGGGAGTGGGGGGTGGATGCATCTGAGGCAGAGTGTGGGCGCCCAGCTGTGTGCCCACATGATGTTTCTCTGATAGTGCCCCCTAATCATGCCAGAGAGACTAGCACTGATGAGAACCTGGCCTGAGGCTTGAGGAGGCTAAAAGGGTCCTGACCTGCCTGGCTTCCTTAGCTTGCACTGCAGCTTTGCAAAGAGCCCCCTGGGCCCCAGCTGGCCATATGCATGTGAGCCAGCGCAAGAACACTACTGTAACTACTCAATAAAATCCAGGGTGTAAGAGTTTCTCTCTGTGGTGTGTTGGCGTCTGGTCCCTAAGCTAAGAAGGGATTGGGGAAAAAAGTGGGTGACGATGAAGATGGGCAAGCAAGGTCTGAAGACAACATGAAGCACTTGAGAGTGCAAAGGCCTGTGGCACGGACCACCTCCCATACGGTACCTGCACAGACACACAGCCTTTCTCACACAGAGATGACTTTTCCCAATAATGGTCCTGCACAGCCAGTCCCCACTAAGGGAAAGGAATACCTGGGGGCACACCTTCCAGAACATTAGGAAAGGATGAGCCCAATTACAGGTACCTCATGACCACCTTTACCTCCAACCCAAGGCCTGAAAGCCAGCCTGTCCTGCTTTTCTCCGCAGGCCTTCCTAGGCTAGTCCCTTCCCAGAAGCGCTCCCATTCCCATCTTTCACAGTCAGAACTTGTCTCATCCCCTGGCTCTGGGCCTGGAGCAACCAGGGCCCAAAGGACTGATGACCCCTCCTCCCTGAGGCACCGCCCAGGAAACAGCACCATAGCAACCGGGCAGCAAACAATGCTGCCAGTAAGGTCTTCCCTATAAAGCTGCCCCTCCTGGCAATGAGGCCCAGAAGAAGAATGGCTTGTAACCCAGGAAGATCACTCAGAGGGCAAAGTAAACCATCCGATGCCAGGAAACCTTTCCTGCAGGTAGGGGCCAGGGCCTCATCTCTGACACCTACCTTTTTGTACCCCACTGGGCTAGTGGCTGTCCCCCTGGGTCATGCTTTCTCCAAGGCAGCAGATCTCCAGTCTGCGAACTCCCGCTGTCTTCCTCCCTTAGTTCTATGGTACTGTGAACGCGGAGTTCAGAAGAGAGGAGAGGAGAAGCCTGGTTATTAGATCTCCTGGACCGTTGGTCACATAGTAATGATTTAGGGGACTGGGCCCAAGAAACGGGAGTTTTGGGAACCAGAAAAGTCCTAAGAGTGGACTGGCGGGAGAGGCATTTTTGGAGAGCATAGTATCATGATTAGTGCAGACAAATGGCCACAGGCTTTCTGGGTGAGTTATTTACTGTGTGAGATATTTACTGTGTCTTGCTTTTTGCATCTTTGAGATGAGGACCGTAACAACACCTGCTCACAGGGCTGTGAACATTAAGTGAGATGTGGATAAGTACTTCGCACAGTGCCTACATATTTGCTACTGTTTATTTCATGGGGGTGTGGCACAGAAAAGGGAAGGGACGAAGAGCCTAGATGCTTTCTGTATTTGACTATATTTTAATGAGAAGGGCAATGCACCAATGACAGGGAAACGAGCAATGGGAGGAGTCCTGGTAGAAAAGCACCCAGGCTTCCTTCTCTGAGGAAAGACTTGCCTCCTACACTTGGCTTGGTTAGGACATTTTCCCTCAGGCTTTCCTCAGGCCTGGTGTGCCCATTAGGAGCCTGAGTTCCTCAGCAGGATTGTGGGAGCCCCAGAACAAAGAGGGTGGGTGGAGGTAATAAGTGAAGAGTGGGAAAATCCAAGTTGAAAGAGGGTGGGAAATCAACCCCAAACCTGGTAGGTGGAAAGAGAACAAAAGATCAACAGTCTAAAGCAGTGGTTCTCAACCTTCCTAATGCCGCGACCCTTTAATACAGTTCCTCATGTTGTGGTGACCCCCAACCATAAAATTATTTTTGTTGCTACTTCATAACTGTAATTTTGCTACTGTTATGAATCGTAATGTAAATATCTGATATGCAAGATGTATTTTCATTGTTACAAATTGAACATAATTAAAGCATAGTGATTAATCACAAAAACAATATATAATTATATATGTGTTTTCGGATGGTTTTAGGTGACCCCTGTGAAAGGGTCATTTGACACCTAAAGGGGTCGCGACCCACAGGTTGAGAACCGCTGGTCTATGGGAATAATACAGAGCCAGCCTACCTGCTGCTGGGCACGGCCGGAGGGAGACACACTCCATGCCAGGCCGCCAGTGCCCCAGGAGAGCCCTGGTGTGGAGGAGGCCGGCAGCTCCTTTCCTCTGGGCTGCTCCCGGGAAGCAGAGGCAGAGTGCCCCATGCTTCCTTTGTCCCTCTCTAGATGTTCCTGGCCGAGTCCCTCCCAGACTACCGCACATGGGCTCAGCGTGAGTTTCTCCTCACTGATAAGCCCGGGGAATTGCCTGGCTTCACCCGGCAAACCTACCACCAGCTGGCCCTGAAGCTGCCACCCTGCACAGACATCAAGTCCAAGGTGCGCCACCGAATAATCCACCCTTGGAAGGATAAAACCAAGCACACCTGGGGCTTTCACACGTGGCTTGACGTGGGGCGCTTGCCTGCCACCTTTCCCAGCAGGCCTGACAGACCCTATGATAGCAATGTCTGGCGCTGGCTGACGGACTCCAGGGCCCACCGCTATCCCCCAGCAGAGCCCGCCATCCCCCCACCCTCCTGGATGGGTCAAAACAGCTATCTGACCTTCATCAGCTGCACTCCTATCTTCTTGAATGAGGACCTGAAGAAACAGGTGATTTTCAGGACAGTGAAAGAACTAAAAGAAGTGGAGAAACTCAAGCTGAGGAGTGAAGGAAGGGCACCTCCACTCGACACCAATGGCAACATCCTGCCGCCAAAGAACTTCAGGAAGTAAGAGGCGCTCCTTCCTCAGGGAGCTCACCCACCTCCCCATGTTCAGGTGACCCCCCCACCCCCCGATTCCTGTTTCTAATATCTAATTGGAACTCTAACTTTCCCACCTCTGAAAACTAAACACTCTTCTGAATGTATCTGGAGGAAAGGGATGGAGGCAAGGGAAAGACAGCCAGGGGAGGGGCTCAATCATTTATTTACTTTTTAAATATATTTTTATTGATTTTTTTATAGAGAGGAAGGGAGAGGGATAGAGAGTTAGAAACATCGATGAGAAACATCGATCAGCTGTCTCCTGCACGCCCCTACTGGGGTTCGAGCCTGCAACCCCGGGCATGTGCCCTTGACCGGACCCTTGAGCCCACAGGATGACGCTCTATCTATTGAGCCAAACTGGCCAGGGCCTTTCTGCCTTTCTGAAGGCTTCTTACCCTTTCAGCTTTCATTCGTTTTCTCATGAAGCCTTCCTGGGGGATATATATAAAAGAAAGGCAGAAAGGAGGGGATGGAGGACTGACTGGTGTGAGCAGAGACAGGAATGCAAAAGGACTTATTCCAGAACCCTGCAGCTCCCCCTCCCCCACCCCATCGTGGGAACTCACAGATATTGCCATACTGGGTCCAGTCCAGGCACTGGGCATGAGTGGCGGGAAAGGAGGAGAAGAATAAGGATAGAATGTCTTAAATTCCGATCCCACAGGCATTAACAGAAGCATTGAGGGGTTGAAGGGGGAGGCTGTGGAAATCTGCAATCTTAAAAAAAAAAAAAAAACAGCCAACAATTGGTGATTTTGAGAGAAGATTATTCAAGGCCTTGGCTTCTCTCTAGTGTCCCTGCAATGAAGATTTATTATTATTATTTTTTATTTTTTATTTTTTTATTGCTTAAAGTATTACAAAGGGTATTACATATGTGTCCTTTTTTTCCCCCCGCCCTTGACAATCCCCTGGCCTCCCCTACCCCCCCCCCCGTGTCTTATGTCCATTGGTTATGCTTACATGCATGCATACAAGTCCTTTGGTTGATCTCTTACCCCCCTTCCTCCTGCCCCCCAACCCTCCCTGGCCTTCCTGCTGCAGTTTGACAATCTGTTTGAGGCAGCTCTGCCTCTGTATCTATTATTGTTCATAAGTTTATAATGGTCTTTATTATCCATGAATGAGTGAGATCATGTGGTATTTTTCCTTCATTGACTGGCTTATTTCACTTAGCATAATGTTCTCCAGTTCCATCCATGCCGTTGCAAATGGTAAGAGTTCCTTCTTTTTTACAGCAGCATAGTATTCCATCGTGTAGATGTACCACAGTTTTCTAATCCACTCATCTACTGATGGGCACTTAGGCTGTTTCCAGATCTTAGCTATGGTGAATTGTGCTGCTATGAACATATGGGTGCATATATCCTTTCTGATTGGTGTTTCTGGTTTTTTGGGACATTATTTTTTAATATATTTTTATTGATTTCAGAGAGGAAGGGAGAGGGAGAGAGAGATAGAAACATCAATGATGAGAGAGAATCATTGATTGGCTGCCTCCTGTATGCCCCCAACTGGGGATCGAGCCTGCAACCCGGGCATGTGCCCTTGACCGAAATTGAACCCAGGACTTTTCAGTCCCCAGGCTGACTCTCTATCCACTGAGCCAAACCAGCCAGGGCTATTATTATTATTTTTAATTGATTTCAGAGAGGAGGGGAAAGGGAGAGAGATAGAAACATCAATGATGAGACAGAATCATTGATTGGCTGCCTCCCGCATGCCCTACACTGGGGATCAAGCTGCAGGCCTAACTGGGAGTGGAGGGGGTGGTGGAGGAATTGAACTTTGACCTCCTGGTTCATAGGTTGACACTCAACCACTGAGCGACACCGGCTGGCTGCCATGAAGATTATTGATGGTTAAAATGTGCCAATACTAGGTATACAAAGGTGAAGGAGACTTAGCTCACTCCTCAAAAAACTCAGTCAAATTATAGTGCCAGATGTTCTGTGGTTCCTTTTAAACAGCTCTGTAAGGGGTTAAAATAAATTGTTAGAATTACTCTAGATCCACGAGAAAGCACATTCTGAGCATGAAAGACCCAGAGATTTTGGACAAGGTCTGAGCCTGAAGATACTCATGATTTGCTGGGAAATAGAACATTTATATATAAACTCAGCCATTCTCAACTCTGGTAGAGCATCAGAATTACCTGGGCCTCTGTAGAAAACTGTTGAGGTTTGAGCACCACCCAGAAGAGTCTAACTCACTTGGCCTGGGGGCAGCCTGGCATGGCATTAAGCTCCTGAGGATGACTCCGTTGTGCAGCAAGGCCTGAGCTCTTCTGCTGTACACGGAAGAGAGAAAACCGGGCTATCTGTGAACCAGGTGCAAAGCATGTGGAGCCACAGGAAATTTGCCACCATTTAACTATGGATTTTAAAAAGTCAAATTCTTTCCCTAGCCAGGTTGGTTCAGTGAATAGAGTGTCAGCCTGTGGACTGAAGGGTCCCAGGTTTGATTCCAGTTAAGGACACATGCCTGTGTTGCAGGCTTGATCCCCAGTGTGGGGTATGCAGGAGGCAGCCAATCAATGATTCTCTCTCATCATTGATGTTCCCCACCCCCACCCCCCTCTCTTCCACTCCCTCCTTCCCTTCCTCTCTGAAATCAATAAAAACATATATTTTTCAAAAAGGCCGCCCTAGCTGGTTTGGCTCAGTGGATAGAGCATCAGCCTCAGGACTGAAAGGTCCCAGGTTCGACGCCGGACAAGGGCACATGCCCAGGTTGTGGGCTCGATCCCCAGTGGGGGTCATACAGGAGGCAGCCAATCAATGATTCTCTCATCATTGATTTTTCTATCTCTCTCTCCCTTTACATTTCTCGCTGAAATTAATAAAAATATTTTTTAAAAAAGTCAAATTCTCACTGTTGAATCTAATACTACAGGCCTGTAGAAGAGGAAACCATCAAACCAGGTGTTGGAAGGCGGCAGGTGAAGGCAGGGAGGGCTCTTGAATAGCATCATATTAACCAGTAATGAGAAGAAGCATGTGTGCTGTATTGGGGAATAGTCAGAATCTGGATAATGAAATATCCTACAATATGTTGAAAGATTGACCAGCTAAATATAATCATTCCAGCTAATGCCAAACACACACACACACACACACACACACACACACACACACACACACACACACACACGCCATTTGGAATAGATCAATTTCCAATTAGGAAAAGAGACAGAAGAATTCCCTATAGCCTGATTGCTCATAGCTTATGGAGGGCTGCATCGTACTTTGCCTTCTCACCCCTTCCATCATGCCTGATTTCTTCTCTGACTTCCTGTTCTCTCCACACCCTCTCCCCTCAACAGGTACCAACACATCTCAGCTGGTGGAAGGTTTGAACCCCTCGGCTTCCAGCTTCTGCCCAACCCACTTCCCAGTGCTTCTGCCAGGAGAAGGCCCTGCCCAAACCCTCTGCCTCACTACCAGGAGACGGCACTAAAGCTGGCCTTGTTGCCAAGTGCGCCCCTGAGAAAGGACCTCGTGAAGAACTACCAAACCCTGATAAAGGACCGCATTGCCTTGCCTCTCCACCATCTCTCCAAGGCACAACCCAGGAAGAGAAAAAGAAGACCTGAACACACCTGGAAAAGCCTCCAGATGGGTGAGGACCACGGTGGGGACACAGACCCCCAGGCTCCAGTGTTCTCAACAAATGTACCTTAAGCAGGAAGCCTTTGGGTGGCTCAAGGACTCTGGCTTCGTAGAATGGAGCCTCTCCAGCTCCTCCCTATCTTTGTAGCCCAGGCTCCTCAAGACTCTACTGAAACGCTAAATTGTTACGTCTTCCTTGGAGGACTCTCTCATAGCAAGTGGGAGGATTGGTGTGTGCGTGGGGGGGGGGGGGGGGGGGGGGAGGAGGTGGAGGAAGACAAAGAGAGCAGGGAGAGCAGAGGGGGGTTCCCATTCCCAGGGACAGAATGAAAAGTGGGGGAAAAGACGGTGTGTGTGTGTGTGTGTGTGTGTGTGTGCAGGGTTGGGGGGAGGAGGGAAGGCTGTAAGAAATGTGGGTAAAAAGTTCCAATCCCATAGCCCACTGGAACAAGACTGGGATTATCAGAGTACAGGAAGCTTTTTAGGCAAAAATAACCTCAATTCCACCCCTCCATGGACCATTTGATGTCCGGAAAAAGACCGGAGGTAACTCTGCTGGGTTGCAGGTCCTACGCAGGGTTTGGGGGAGCAGAGGTCAGGCCTAGGCTGGTGCTAGAGGATGGAAGAGTCAAGTTTGAGGTAGGCTGACCAGGCCTCCATAGAGGGACAGGAGTAGAACAAGGCAAAGGTCAGGGTGGTTCCCCCAGAGCATTATTATGTTAAGGCCTGTGTGCTGCAGTTGACCCCAAATTCCTCAGCTTTTACAATGGGGTACCAAGGACAAGTGGCCTAAAGTGGAAGCAGGCAAACCACATCAGAAAGGTGCTGACCCAGGCTGGGTGGAGGTTGATAGGGGAGGGCCTGCAAGGGACCTAGTGGAGGTGGCAGGGGGGAGGCAGCTGGGAGGCTGCTGAAGAGTCACCTCATCTCTTCTTGTCCCTGTCATACCCCAGGTTGGTGATCTTCCCCAACTGGGCTTCTCTTAGCCTTCTGTCCATTGCTTCTTTGTCTCCACTTTTCTCAAGCCCAGCAGGCACCAGGGAATCAAAACACCACCAGGGTTTTGATTAACCAACCACTAACCAGCTATGTGACCTTTGGGAAGGTCATTGTGTGACCTGTGGGAAGGTCATTGTCCCCTCAGGCTTTCAGTTTTTTTCATGTGCTCCGAGGTGGGACTGGGGTATAAATCAGTGGAATAAATAAAATCACATAAGTGAAATAAATACCTGCAAAGTATCCGACACATTGTAGATTCTCCATAAGTAAAGCTATAACCATTATTCCTAGAATAAAAGAAAAAAATGGGCGGAATATTACTCATCCATAAGAAGGAATGAAGTACTACCCTGGCCTGGTAGCTCAGTTGGTTAGAACATTGTCCTGATACACCAAGGTTATAGATTCAATCCCCAGTCAGTACACATATAAGGATTAATCAAGGAATGCATAAATAAGTGGAACAACAACTCTCTCTCTCTCTCTCTCATTGTTTCTCTAAAATCAATCAATAAATTTTTTTAAAAAAGGAATGAAGTACTGATCCATGCCACAGTGTAAATGAACCCTGAAAACATGTTGCATGAAAGAAGCCAGAAAAGGCCGCCTGTTGTATGATTCCATTTATATGAAATATGTAGAATAGGCAAATCCATAGAGACAGAAGGTAAACTGACAGCTGCCAGGTGCTGGGGAGGAGAGAATGGGGACTGACTGCCTAATGGGCTCAGGGCTTTCTTTTGGGCTGAAAATATTTTGGAACTAGATAGAAGTGGTGGTTATACAGCATCATGAATGAATGAAATGCCACTGAATTATGTACTTTAAAATGGTAAATTTGATGTGTATTTCATCTCAAAAATAATGTTAGGCCCTGGCCAATGTGGCTCAGCAGTTAGAGCACTGGCCCACACACCCAAGGGTTACAGGTTCGACTCCAGGGCACATACCTGGGTTGCAGGTTCAATTCCCTGACCCTGTCAGGGTGTATGTGGGAGGCAACCAATCAATGTGTGTCTCTCACATCGATGTTTCTCTCTCTCTCCTTTACTCTCTCTAAAAATCAAAGGAAAATATCCTTGGTTGAGGATTAACAAGGAAAATAAATAAATAAATAAATAACATAATAATAATTTTAGCCCTGACTGGGTGACTCTGATGATTAGAGCATCATCCACATACACCAGGGTTCTGGGTTTTATCCCCAGTCAGGGCACATACAAAAATCAACCAATGAATAATACATAAATAAATGGAACAACAAATCAATGTTTCTCTCAAAGCAATAAACTGTTAGGTCGGAGAGAGCCCAGGTTTGGATACATGCAGACATGTGATGAGACAATGGACTTCCCCTGGAATTTCTCACAGATCAACGTGCCAGACACAGATACCAGCTTCTTCTCCCTGAATCCACATACCCCCACACAGATACGGACTTCTTCTGAATACCCCTGCCCATCCCCTGCAGCAGAGAATTCCTCAGCTCATGTCCCCGCCCCTCACCCAACTGCAGTATAAAAAAAGCGCCCCCCTCCCTGCTGGTGTGAATCCACGTGCCCTGTCCTTGGGGTACGTGGGTCTCCCGGGGATGCAGAAATAAACCTTTTCCTTTCCTTTCTTTTCTGATTCACTGGACTCTATTTCTTGCGCCGCCTCCTGAGCCACCTAACCTAACATAAACAACTTTAAAAAATAATTTTAACAAATAGTGTGTGTGCGTGTAGAGAGTTTCCAAATTTCCTTATAGTTCCAAATCTATAATTCTATTCAACCGACTTTCTCTTTGCCACCTTTCTCCATGTTATGTGTATGGGGGTGGGTGGAGAGAAGCCAGGGGTGAAGGAGAATTTCCTGAGTACTCCAGGGAAGTGGAATATACTCATTCTCCCCTCCTTGGATTAGGAATGGTGGTAGAAAGGAGGAGGTCCCTTCACCTAGGAGTCTAACACATGTCAGAGCTGAGGAGTCCATTAGAAAACAATTGTTTAGGAGGTAAACCATGGTCATTGGAAAAGCAACTTGCTCCAGGCTACAAAGACAGGCAGTCCCTGGCCTCCTGCTACAATAGGAAACACAGGGCTCTGAACTAGGTCTCCAGGGCCTATACTGTCATTCTGCTTCTTAGGCTACTTGCCCAAGACCCAGGGTTTTGTCATCTCCACAGTGAGAGGCCGGGGATATATAAAGGGTTAATATGAAGACTTAGGAGGTGGAAGGAAGGAGGCCATTGGAATTCTTCAGAGAAAGCCACCTACTCTCTGACCTGGAGCTGGTGAAGAGCAGAAAGGCAAGCTGACTCCTGCCTTGGCAGACCCAGACCACCCCAGAGGCTGCCAGCCTCATGGCAGGACTTCTACCCCACCCACCACTTGCCTGCTCTGCTCTCTGGACAGTGCCTCCTTCCTGCTGGCAGGTGGACTGCAACATTATCAGGGGCTGACTTGTCTAGTTGCCAGCCAGAGATGCGGAAGCAAGACTCCTTAAATTCCTGAATGCCACTGGGCCATGGAGATCTGGGAGACAGAATTAGCTTCTGTCCATATGTCCTCCAGGGCCTGAGGACTTCTGTAAGGCAATCCCCAGCTCAGCCTGCCAGCAACTGTGAACACCCCCACCTTCCCACATGCACTAATGAATATGGAGTTCTTGAAAGCCTTTGGTGGGATGGAGTTGGGGATTCCTGTAACCCGGGTCTGTCTTAAAGACCTGTTCTCTCACCACAACTTTTTTTTTTTTTTTTTCAGAGAGGAAGGGAGAAGAAGATGTAACTAGACAAACAATGGGTTTATGCTGCCTGTCACTACTCAAGCCAATTAAGCACAGACAGGGTTGAATCATATATGAGCATTTATTCCAATATTGATGGCAATATGGGAGAGCAGCAGGTCGTCCACAAAATCTGCCTTGCAGCCCACCATAAGCCAGCCCTTATACAGGTAGAAATACAAAGGAAAGTAGGCAAAAGGGCATATGGGCAGTTTACAGATATGCAAAGGGAGGGGGATCTTCAAAGGGCTTAGTGATATGCAAGGGCTGGGGTTACATGGGGAAACAGCCAAAGGGTAGGCCAAATGGGCAGTTAACAGATAAGCAGGCTCCAGATTTGCAAAGGCCTGCAGGTATGCAAAAATGGGCTGGGGAATTCTGATTTCTGGCTCTGGTTTCTGCAACAAATAGGCAGCTCCAAATGGGGAGGGCGGGCTGCATTTCCAGGTGAAACTCCCAGGTCCTGAGTGCAGCTGTCAGCCAAGTTAGAATGTGCCTTCTTTAATCAGAACAAAACAATCACAGTTAACAGAGCATGATTAATATTTCTTACAATACTAGCTGGTTCCCCAACATTCTATTTCTGCCCCTTTTCAGAGAGAGAGAAAGATAGGAACATCAATGATGAGAATCATTGATTGGCTGCCTCTGGCATGCCCCACAACCCGGGCATATGCCCTGATCAGGAATTGAACCATGACTTCCTGGTTCATAGGTCAATGCTCAACCCCTGAGCTGGCAGGGCTCTCACCACAACTTCTGAGAGTAGATCTGAGAGGGAGGTAGGAATGGCATCCCCTCCCCCATATCCCCAACATCCCCAGAGCACCACTCCACAGAACTTTCTGTGCTCTGCTGAATGCCACCAGCATCATAGACCTTAATTAATCCCAGCACAAAGGCTTTCAAAGCCACTTCTGGGTCAACACCTTCCCTTCCACAACCTCACTTTCCCTAAGCCCAGGATTAGCCTCATGAGTTGGGTTGCCGAGTCCAGTTCAGGTTCCTGAATTGCTTCGGGCCTGAGGAATTGTTGGGGGTCAGAGAGTGTTGGAAGCTGTGGAGGCCGGGAAACCATGGGAGAGATGCAGGGCCAGCCACTTGGCCAATCATGATCTTCAGTCCTCATTCATCAAAAATCCCCATTGCTCCTGGCCGGTGTGGTCAATGGTTGAGCATTGACCTATGAACCAGGTCACAGTTCAATTCCCAGTCAGGGCATATTCCTGGGTTGTGGGCTCGATTCCCAGTGTAGGGCATTCAGGAGGTAGATCAATGATTGTCTCTCATCATTGATGTTTCCATCTCTCCTTCTCCC